GGTATAGTTTCTCCAAGAAGCAGAAATTATACTTACCTGTTGGACACCGCTATAAACCTGTGAAGGATCCCTGTAGCTGTGTCATTGTTATAGTACTGCTGTTAAGAAGGCCACGGTACTGTAACAGTGTTACCTTTTGAGATCTATGTAAGTACTAGTCTATAGTACAAAACTTTAACGAAAAAAGTGCATTCATAGAGGTCATCTATATTGGTTGAATTTGTGTATGCATTTAGAGAGAATATACACTTATAGATGTTGAACTTGTGAAGATTTACTGTATAAGATGTAGAATTTAAGCTTTATTTTACTGGATCTAAATTTTGGCAAGGATTAAGAGTTTCTAGTTTTTAGTAAGAATGCAAAACCATAATTCATAGTAAGTATAGATTTTGTTGATTTTTATTTTTTTATTTATTTTTCTTGCTATTATTATTAACTTCTTTTTTTTTAGAAGCTACTTTATTGGATCTTAACGATTGAGCACTTCCACCAGTTTCTAGTAAGTGTACAAGATTATGGTTCATAGTTAATTGCTTGGTTTTTTTTTTTTTTTTTTGCCATTAATGCTGCTATAACTTTTTTATTAACTTTGAGTTTTCTTTTTCAGGTTCTACTTTATCATTCCTAATATGCTTTATAGCTAAGTATAGATTCTTGTTTGGTTCTTGTTTTTCTTTTATCATTATCACTAATATTTTTTTTTAGGCCGATAAAAATTAGATTTTTTTAAGTTGCTTTCTATTTTGACGAAATTAAATTCTGTATGGACTAATAAGATTAATTGTTTTTTTAAAGGTTTTCAAATTCTTTCTTGCTTTATTGATTTATTTTATTAATTACAATAAAATTTAAAAATTTATTGCCTCGAATTATTGTAAAATCAGATCATCATAAAATTTGAAGAAAATATAAGCTCTACCAAAATCCACTTATACTCTTTTATTAATAACTCTAACTCTAAATCCTAACTTAGTTATAAAAAAAAAAGCCAACAAAAAAACCTCAAATTTTTTTAAAACTTGTACATAAAAGAGATCCAAATTTCACAATGATCTGATTTTACGATAATTCATGACATTTACATTTTTAAAAATTCTAGATATATAATTAAATGAAAATTATAAAGAAAAATTATGTGCTATTCCACGAAGAAACTCTATTAATGTATGATTTTTCTGATTATTAATAATAATATCAAGCCTTTGTTCTCTTTCAATTATGCCTTTTTTAGGCTTTGGGCATTGTGCACCACATATCATAGATTCTATTTGATGTTCAACCTTTTGCTGTTCTTTTTGAAATTCTTCGATAATAGTATAAACACCCACATGTGGTCTACCAACTAAATTTTCTCATTGTCGATGCTATGCCTCAACAATGTTCTGTGTTCGGAGAATACCTGCTTCTATAGAGTCATGCACAGACCACATTTGTAGTGGAAAAAGAGGTGTTGAACGGCTGATATTACTATTATGCATTTGTTGTATTTTTTTTCTATAAACATAATTGTCCTCAAACCATTGTATTAACTCCTTGACTTCTATAGGCATTTTCCCCTTTAAAGCATCAAATACTGCAGGGATTTCATTTGATGATAAGAATGCTAATGCGAATAAATAGCGCAGCTTGATGCTAAAATCTTCATCAAGGCCATAGCAAGTTGATAGTCCATATGATTGAATTTTTTTCTAGCCGCTTTGTCCTAAATGAAAGAAGCAACACTTATTATTAATATTCTAAAACTCGCTACATGATGCATTGATTGCAGCAAGTTCAAAGTCTGTAAGAATTGTTGTAGGCCTTAATGAAATATTATTTTCTTCAGTAAATTCAATTAAATCTTGAAATAGTGCTCTATATAATTCTTCAGACTTTTTTGTCATCAATATATACACTAAAGGAAGAACTCTTGAATTGTCCCCTGCACCAACTAGAGCATGGATTGTATACAACTGACGAAAATAGTCAGAACAGTTTTAAAAGTACCATCCATCATCCAGTATAATGATCCAGATAAGTGTTGTATATTAGCTTTTGTAGTAAATAAGAGAATTCGTTCTTCTTCAATTATGGAATCTCTTACTAAAAATTCTTCCCCCCTTAGTGTTAATTGAAGCAAATCAGAAATATTAATATTATCAAGTTTTTGGGGTTGTGGAGGCATGTCTGCTCTTCTAACATGCTTGATTCATATTTACAGAGCATCTTGCAATAGAACATAAAGATAGATTTCTTGAGGGATATTAATGATAGTGTCTTGAATTATTTGGGCTGGTGGATCATTGGTATCATGAGCTCTATTTCTTAAATTTGCAATACTTTTTGCAACTTCAGCACTACTAGGTTGTGATGCATGATTATGATCATTAAATTTTTGAAGATAATGTATTTTATTTACAAATGATGTTGTAGCATGACCTCTACAATCATTTGATTTTTTTTTTCACAGCACCAATAGTATGCATTTTCCCAATTACATTCCTTTATCATCAAATAACTATGGATATTAATCTTATAAAATCCTTTTTGAGAAAGTATGATTTTACAAGTTTCTTCTATTTTTTAAAATTTTAGATTTTTTGAAAAGAACACGACATGATAATTTAACAATCTAAATAATGTATATTATAACTAAGTTATTTATTTAAATAAAGCTTTAAAGACAAAGTCTGAAAAATCTCTATTAGCGCGAAAAGATAGTATTTTTATACTTTTTGGACAATTGTTTTAACATTGTACATAATAACCTTTTCTAGTTATTGGAAACTACTCTTTTGCTATTTTTTTTTAATTTTATTTCATCTCTTTTGATATATCTAATTTGCTATATATCTTTCACTATAACTCTTTCATCTGTTATAAAGAATAATTGTGGTATAGAGATTATAGTTGTAACCCAAAAACAAAAACTATATATAAATTTCTGAAACCAAAACCAAAGCTTAAAACCTTTTCTAAAACTTAAATACTATACTGAAAAACTTAAAAATTTAGATTTAAACTTTATAACTTAAAGTATATGATAATTAGATTGCATTCCAAGAGTTTTTTTTAGTTACTTTATAGCAAATAAGTATTAATTTTTAACATTCTAATTTGAAGGTTTCGGAAAGGTTTCAGGTTTCAGGTCACAACTATAATAAAGATTATACCCAGTTAGACATAAATTATTCAATAACTGGGTAATTTAATAATATCTAAGTAGAAATTTTCTTGATGAGTACAAACTCTACTATGGCAATTTTTTTTATTTGTAGTTTGGCTAACCAAACCAATAGGATCGGTATCAATACAAAAAAAAAAAATTGAAACAAAATAGTAAGCTATAATAAATTACAGTTTACTAAGCCTCTAAATTGGTACAAGCATAGTCAATAAACTGCAGAAAATTTCTTTAATTTATAGGTTTGGTTGACCAAACCTATAGAAATATCATTAAAAACAATAATAATAGAAATTTTGAAGAATTGTAGCAAAAAGCCATAATAAACTACCAATTAAGCCTTTAAATAGACCTTTGCCACATACATACAATTGCAAAAATTTCTTTTAATTTATAGGTTTGTTAGCAAAACCCATAGAAACTATATTAATATGAAAAGAAATAAAAATAGAAATATTGAAGAATCGAATCAAAAAAATAGTAAGCCATAATGATAATAAACTATTACTATCAATTAATTAAGCTCCTAAATAGGCTTGCTATAATAACTGAGGCTATGAAATTTTTGGCTACAATATATGCAGAAGGCTTGTTAGCCAAAACAGAATAATAATTGGCTAAAGTAAACAAACACAAAGTTAATAAAAATTACACATAGCAGTGTATAAAAGCTAAGTATTGAAAAGCACAAAAAAAAAATATTAACTATAGGCTGTAATATTCTAAAATAAAATATTATATTAATTATTTAACTCTAAGATAGAAAAGCCTTGTTTTTTATTAAAGTTCTAATTAGAAATAGAAAGAAGTTTTGGCTGTGAAAGGATAACATCATCAATTAAAGCCTTATACTAACTCAAAGTTATTAAAAGTATTAATTTATCTTCGTAAAAGAGCAGAATCTTAGGATTAAATTCTATTATTTAAATAAAAATTTTAATACAATAGCATTATTTTTAGTCACACCAAAATTAATTAAAAATGTTTTTCAACTTTGCAAACAAATAAAAGACACCTTAGTAATGGAAATTCGAATCACGAATAACACAATTATGTGTTATGATTATGAAGGTGAACCTGTTTCCTTCATACTATCTGAAGATCTTACCACCATTCCATTAGAACAAGCCTGAATGTCATTGTATTTAGATGATTTAAAAAGAACTAATATCTCTACCAGGTAGGATTGTAATTTTGTGTAATTTTATATAATCTTGTTTCAGTAAATTAGTTTTTATACAAAATATACAATTTTGAGATCAAATATTTGATGATTAAAGAGTACTAATCGGATCATATATTCAATGATAATAATACTGGCAGAATTTTGTAAAGTTGGCACATTATATATAACGTGATGAAACTTATATGAAATCTAATTTACTGAAACTTATGTAAAATTTCATGTATTATAAGTTTGTAATGTTTATAATGCAACCCTATTAACAGGTCTCTTGAAGAAGTATATGGTGAGATCTGGGAAGATCAGGTTACATATATTAGGAACAAGATGCATCAAAATCGTCTTGATCAGGTCTCCCTTCTTCAATATTATTATCTTTTGGGGGAATGGTTGAAAGCTCAGTTTTGGAGCTCAGCTACCAAAAAGATTATCCAAATTAATTTTTCTACTAGTGCTTATCGTTATACTTGGAAGGCAGCTTTACGCAAATATCAATTGTATCATGCCCGGGGTACTCATAACCTTCTTACTGTTTAAAATATTACTGCCAATGCTTTATTACAATTGTCAGAAGAAAATTTTAAAACATTGGTAGAAGAAGCTCAATTAATTAGAGCAGCTGAAGTCGATTATATTTTAGAGTTCACTCAAGAATAAGTAATAAATTACAATAAATTACACTATTATTTATTGATTTTTTTTTATCATTTTTGTCCTTAATTGTTTTTTATATCGTTTTTTGATTAAAGAAAAAAGCTGCCATTGACTATTAAAATGGGTAAGCTATATTAAGAGGAGTATATGTAACTATGTTTATTATATTCAGGTAAGTTTTTAAATGTTTACATATATAGAAATTTTTTAATAAAATTAAAAGCCGGGTTGCCGGATCATTAATTTTAAATCAACTTTGTAAAAAAACCTGTAATTATATAAACAAGTCACGATAATTTTGGGCACCTTCAAAAACCTGGATCATATAGTTTATACAATAGAAGTAGTATATATACAGTCAGACCTCTCTAAATGCACGTCGTCGGGACCAGCTCTAGCACGTGCATTTAGAGAGGTGTTGCATTTAGGGAGGTAAAAATCTATATATATAATATTAGTTGGGCTCAAAAGAAGACGTGCATTTAGAGAGGTGTTGCATTTAGAGGGGGTGCATTTAGAGGGGTCTGACTATATATTGTATTGATTCATTAGTTTAACAAACAATAAAAGGAAGGTTTGACTGTATCGATCATTATGATTCTTTCGATTTCTCGATTAGTTAGTGCTTAAAATTGATCATAATAAAATTATATATACCAGATTGAATAAATAAATTTTTATATCAATCTGAAAATTCAATTAATGTCACGGCTGATACTGAAATTTAGACCTATTTTAATATGAAGTTTTAAATTTTTTGAGAAGCATTTTTTTCCACTTTTTTTTTTTAGAGTTTGATTAGGATTTGGAACTAGAATTTATTATTAAAGTGTATATTTAGATTTTAGCAGAGCTTATATTTTTCACAAATTTCAGCATCAGCTAATTTCTATTATCAGCCACGACAATTATTTTCAGTATTATTTGTGTAATTTTAAAAGTTAAAATAGAATTGCTTAAGTACTTTATTTAGGATTTCAGAATGATGCATTTCATAGAATTAGTATTTTGATTGTGTAGAATTATACACCTCTAATAAAATATCAAAAAAATATATATAAATGAATCAAGTGGATATTTCTCTATTAATTAACATAAACAAAAAGAAAGTGGTATCTTATTTTAATATATCGAATTTAAAATGTTCAAACTTAAGCAATTTTAGGGATTTTTCATTGTTCAATGAATAATCCCTGAAATCGCTTAAGTTTGGACGTTACTTCAAGAGCTACAAGATGCCAAAAGACGTAAAAGCATGCTGTCAAAGAAGTCCACCTAGAAAAGCATCAGAAGTGACAAATCCTAGAACTATACAGCATCAAGATCGATAATTATACTAATGCGACATCTCTGGTAATGATTACTTCAATAGCAACAATTCCTTTAACAATAACAAAGAAAAATCTAAAAAAAAAGAACAAAAGTTAATTATAGGCTTAAAACTTGTATTAAACTATGCATTTGTTACTATGAATTGCTATATATAAGATCCGGGTCTGGTACATTCCACCAATTTTAAAACCTATAATAGAACCTGGATCTAAAATATAGCTGAGTTTGTTATTAAAAAAATTTTTAAGAGAATGTATGTTTTACATTTATTTATACTAGACCATTTAAAATATATATATATATTTTTTTTAAAAAAAAAAAAAATCAATTTCTATGATTTGCATCTTGATCCAATTTATAGACGGCAATTTAGCGATTTGGTTTATCTATTATCATTAACGGTTAAGAATATTTATTAAAAAGGAAACACAAATCACTAACTCTTCTTGATGATCACTTGTACCAAGTTTTCTCTAAAAACAATTGCATTTTTCTCAATATTTTACTAAGTAAACCTAGTTTTATATCTCCAAAGGTCTTTATTAGTGGGATATAGCTAAACTTGTTCTTTTGTGTTCTTTCTTCAAAAACTTAAGATAACTGCCTTTGCTTCTTAAAACAAAAAGATTCAGCTAACTTATAGCTTTATTTTGATATATAGTATATTAAAAACAGACTAAAACTGATAGCATAACAATTAAAATACTTCAAAACTTCGTTGCAAAAATTGCACTTTATTTTTGCAAAAATTTTTTCTCTTTTTTGGGGAACCCTGCCCCCCTAGGACATCCAGACCTGCAGATCCTGGATTACAAATCATTATTACAAATCAGTTTACACAAATTTAACTTTTGTTTTATCTATTTTTATTCTTAACCTAATTTTACTAATTAAATTACACAACTTCTGTCTTATATCGATTATGTCGATCCTGTTGCTCACCAACTGTTACACCAGGTGACTCCTTAATTGTCACACACCTTATATATCACATCTCTTATTTGTCATACCCCTTTATTTGTTACACTCCTTATTCGTCACACTCCTTGAAAAAAGCAGCTCCTTAATACTACTAACATTATGCCAACCTAACTCTATCTAAAGACCCAGATTCCTATGATATTGACTATTATTATAGTCGATATCGTGACTGCTTTGGTATCGGAATGAATGAAAACAAACCAGACTCACTTAAAGTACTTCCACCTAACTTTAAACCAGAAACTTGTGACTTGCAATCTTCTAAAAAATTGCATTATTCTTAAGTACCAAAGCAACCTACTATTGGTATATGTTTCTGCAACAAATATCATACTAGCTTCACTTCTCGATTCTATAGAATTGATCATTCAACCGAAATAGGCCAACCAACTGATACTATCTCTACAATTTCGAAAAAGCAATTTCAAAAAATTATAGACGAATTACCTGCTTCTCCAAATATCAAAATGCAAAACCAACCTGAATCATCTACATCATCTATCGCTACTCCAAGAATGCTTTTTCCAAGCTTCAAACAGACAAAACTCTAACAGCTATTATTGCTCACTCTCAACATTACCATACTTGTTTTATCTGCAAAACTAAAAATATTTCTTGTGTAGCTACTGAACAGAGCAGCTATGCTCCGGACTATTCAGTAGCTTGTATCTTCAAAAATCTCTTTCTTCTTCACAGAACTTGTGCTTCACGAATCTACGACATTAAGCTCAAACCGCTTAACTCTACTGCTTCGATGACACTTGAACAAAAATCTATAACCATCTTTCTTAAACTTTGGCAAATATCTGCTGCCAACAAAAAAATTATATTCACTACCTTTCTCAACAAACTTAAACAAAATCAACAACTCCCTAATAAAAAATCTAAAAAACCAAACCAAAATACCAGAGATACCTCGAATGATCTTGACTGATTCAAAGCATATCCAGTAACTGAAGATATGGAACCATATACCAAATTCATAATACCTTGGCCTACCAACTGTTCGACTTTATCAAACCACACCTTGTTGATATTTATCCTGGCAAAGTTACAAAAGCAGCTACCGAGATAACAAAAGCATCCAAGTTTAACTATAACTATCTTATCAAAACCTTGGCCGGTAAAAGACCTAAGTTTTTAACCGATATTATATATGAAGCCAACCCTACAATCAGCAGATCAATTACAATTTCTTTTGAACTTATACATTCTACCTTTGTTGATCTACTTAAAGAATTCACTACAATCCTTTTTACTCAATTAAACTATCCAAAAATACTTTCCTTTTACAATTCTATACCCCCCTACTCTATTCCTAATTGAAACCGTGTTGCATTAAATCTTGCACGCTTACATCTCATCCTACATAACAAATACCAAACCATTCATGCTAACAAATTTTATGAAGACATGAACTTACGTCCTATCCGCTTTAGACTTCACTATTATATTAGTGATGACAATATTAATCAACCTCTCTTCAAAGTTCAAAATAATAACCAATTTAATATTAACATCTCTTTCAATATTCCTAAAAAACAATTTTTACAAGACTTTAAAATTCTCTCTTTTAAACCACATCTACCTGAATTTGATCTATGGTTTGAAAAGTTTTTTGAAACTTATAAACAACAGTTTGCTCAAATTGATCAAAAGAAAACATACAATTACATCAAACACCAAATTGGTCTTAAACTCCAAAATATATGCAAAGGACTTCTCCCTTCTACTTTTAAAATTACTTCTATTAATTCACTTAAAGAACATATACAACTATGCTTTCTAGCTGCACTTTATTATTTTCATACTTGTACAGTTGAGAAATGCACAACCCTACTAAAAGATATCGAACATAATGCAAAAAACCTCTATACCTCCTTCTTTACTGAATCTTTCAACCATTTTCATGCACCCAAGAATATAGAAACTAAACCTATATGGGTTTACCCTACATTAGACTTTTCTATTTTTGATTTGAACAAACAATATACTGCCACATTTCAAAACCCACACTAATCTCTTTTCTTCATCAGCTCGTTCACAAAACTGAAGAACAATTCCTTCATTTAAATTCACTCAAGCAAGAAGACTCAAATCAATCACGACTTAGTTTCTACTTTTATAGTTATTTTAACGCATATAACAAGGCTGCAGCTATCAATGATCAAATTTACAACATCCAACCACATATAGCAATTGAAAAGCTAACTTCAAAACCAACTGATACTAATTTCTTGGCCAGAGTACTTACTTACTTCCATATCTTAAAAACAGAAAAACCCACAATTAGCTCTATTCACCAAGCATATAATGAATGATTCTTCCCTGAAGCACAAAAAATTCTGTTAACAAATTCAAAATACAGTTTAACAAACCTAATACTAAGAATATGCTCCATCAACATCTGCAAAAACCATCTACCAAACCTTCTATAACCCAACCAAATTCTAATAACCCTTATCTTAATGCACTATTATCTCATCAAACACCAGATACAACTACAAACTTAGACGATGATACTATTATGACAGATCTTAATACAGAAGAGAATACTACAACTCCTAATCCTACACAAGATCTCAATTCTCATATTATTACATCATCATTTAATCTTTTTTAATATTATCTTTTGCAGAAAACATGAATGCAGCCACCATTTCTGAAATAATTATGTCCTTCACTTTAAGTAGGCCATTTTCAGAAGAGAATGATGTAAGTGGACAGGTGGTTAAGTCCATTTACACAGAGAACTATGATAAAGATGGTCAGACCCAACGTACAGGGCAGGCTATGGCACTCTTTGTGGCCGTGAAAACCGGGCTTAAAACGGCGAGCGATTTTGCAGAAGACTATTTGTCCAAATCATTATCAATATCTTTAGACTCCTATGATTTGAATGCATGCTATAACAAATACTTATCATACCATAAACTTCCTCTTCTTAAAGGACCTCAAACTCTACAATCCTTTTACTCTCACCTCAGTATCCATGCACTACATCTTAAAAAATTTGCTGCCATCTTGCTATGCAAAGACAGGACAAAAGCACATGTCTATCTACCAAATGAGACCAAATTACTGCCAAATCATATCCTACCACTAATATTAGATACATATAACATATCTCTTAAATCATATACAAATACACCACCATCACGAAGTTTTCAAAAATGTTTAATAGTGTCAACAAACACTCATGTTGTTTAATTCGAAAATTTGTAAAGCAATGAACCTTACATTAACTAACTATGTTTAAAGACATGTAAAACAACATAAATTTTGAGTTTAACAACATCTATTTATCAACTAATAGCATTTGAAATCATGTTGTACAACTTAATTTTTGTATCAACTAACGTATAACAAAATATAAAAAAATTACTACGAATAAAAATTTAAGCTAGGCTAAAAATGCAAGCATCAAATATTAAAAGAAATTACTATTTGATATTTTTAATTTTTTTTTGATCAACCTATCGGAATAGATTAAACATAAAAGATTTAACATTGTCGCCCTAAATTAAAGAATCATGAGATCTGATAAGTTTGAAAATATTTATTCGGCTTTTGAGAAAGCTATCACAAAATTAACGTTTAATTTATAATTAGACTACATATATGTATATAAATTAATATACAATTAATATAATCAGGTTAAACGTGATAATACCTAATTTATCTAATCTGCATAGAGATCATCATCTGAGCCACTATTATTAGAACTATTATCATTAGGCGAAGGTAATAAATTATCAAAAAACATACCGGCATCCTAAAAGAAGCCATAACAAAATATATAGTAAATTAAATAAAGTAAATAAATAAATAAGCAAATAGTATATACTTACATTTTGTTTATTAGACATAATTTGTTTAGTCCATGTATCAACATACTCTGTATCAATTTTGGATGAAAAGTATTCTTCGTCGAATATTATTTCAAGCACTGCCTGTATCCAGACAGCATTCTCATATGTATGCTCTTTCTTGAAAACAAACACATTTTTGACTATTAATATAAGATACGTATCAGATGATGAATCTTCAAGATCACTCGGAGCATATAGCTCCTCATGAACCTTTTTTGTATTATTATGCTGCTTCTAGTTTTTCATTTGCTCCTTGGTGTAATTGTCCTCAAATGGTTTAAGTCAGTTTATTCCAAACGTACTCCACAGACTCTCCTTAACTCATCTAATGTAATAACCTCTTTTTACACGATTAGCATCAAGTAACTAATATATATTAATAAGGTACGTACATATTAGTGATAGTTAAATAAATTTTACAAATGTATACTTATTTTTAGGATACTTTCTATATCCGTGGATTATATATTCGTATATAAAAAGAAGCTAATCTTCTTTTAGTTATACACACAAATTAATTAATTGGACACTATAATAAATAGGTGAATATATAATCCACAGAAATAGGATAGATTTTGAAAATAGATATGCATGTCTTAAAAATACTTACAGCAGAATATAACTTTTTATGCCATAGCTGCGTGAAGGTAATTCCTTTGTCTTTTAATTTTTGCAATTGTTCACTAGAAAACTCATCTTTTTCTAGCTTTAATTTAAGCCGTTCCTTAAGTTCATTCTCAGTATTTTGTTTATATTCGTGAAATAAATTATATGAGAGTTTCTTAATTGCATCCTATAATTAGAATAGAAGTAAATATATCATAAATAAACATGAATTATAAATATAAATTATATGAAATGATAATATTAATATAAAATATATACCATATAAAACTCGTCATTTACCTTTTTGTATGTTTTTTTTCCTTTGGATTTCTCAATTTCTATAGAGTTGAACAATGTATCGGGATTTTTTAATTCTGTTAAAACCTCCGTTAATTTGCTCTTTTGTTCATTAACTGACGCTTCCAATCTATCTAAACATTTTGTTAATAAATTTAATTTTATACTATTTTTCTGCTCAACTTGCAGTAGTTTAGTTAAAGTGCGTGAATCAACGGTTATTGGTGCTGCTAGATTATTAATAAAATCAATTCAATAATATATTAACAAGATAATATGCATAATTATGAATGCTTACTTTCATCTTGTTTACTTGTTAATTCAGCTACAGAATGAGGAGATATAACCACTTCAGAAGGGGAGGTGGAGTTCCTTTGAATGGTTCTATATTAAAAGGTGGTCTAGCCTAATGAAGTAATATAAATCACAAAAAAGTATAAATATAAATGCACAACTATAAGAAACAATATAAGTAAATTATAATAAGTCACAGGTGAAACAGGTAAAGCAGATTGTTTAGAAATCAATCGTTTAGATTGTTCTAATTCATTTTGAGATCCAGATATCAATCGTTTAGATTGTTCTGAGTCTTTTGGTCTGGAGTTCGATCCTTTGAAAGCTTTTTGAGGTCGTAAATTAAATGTTCTTTGACCTACGCCAGTTGAGATATCAGAAATCTTCATCTTTTTTGGAGTGCTAGTTGAACTATTAGTTGAATTGCTTGTACTGGCCTCAGTATCTGTTAATAGCATATTTAAAAATAGTTATTTAAAGTCCATATAAACAAATATTAAAATTCTTTATACCATTTTGCTCTAATGCCTGAAATAAATTAAGTTAATAAATTTGAATTGTAATAATTAATATATAAAATATTTTGTTGTCTCTTATTTTCGTTAATATATTTCTGAATTACCGATTTCATATTATTTAATATTCATAAATTTAAGTATCTTGTTGAATATTCAATTTTTAGTTGATCAACGATGTGGCCCAAGATTATCGCTGAGAAAAAGCCAAGATGTTGAGTGTATATTGTGTAGGTAGTCAGAAAAATACAACGAAATTGAAGACAACATCAACTATAATACCAACTTTTGCCTGATTTTGTCTCTTTGGCCGTCGGAAACCATTAAGGTTAGACATGATATTATCAGAAGGTTTGTTATTTTTTATAACTAAGAAAATATAAAGTAAGATATAAAGACGCATAAAAAAAAGTGAAAAAAAGCCTTTTATTCAATTTCAAAGTAATGACTAGCAGATGACAATAATGATAAATTATTAATAACTTGAAAATAATGACCAATTACTGATAATCCAAAGTAATGATGATAATGGTAAATTATTAATGATTTAAAATAATAATCAATAACTGATAATCCAAAGTAATAAAGAACTAAAATCATACCATATTTAATTGAACTCAACAATATAGAAAATAATGCACCGTTAATATACTGAATATAATGACAAATTATTAATTATATATGATAAGTGACAGACTAAAAATCGTGACATTGCTCAACTAAACTCAACAATATAGAAAATAATGCATCGTTAATATACTGAATATAATGACGAATTATTAATTATATATGATAAACGACAGACTAAAAATTGTGACATTGCTCAACTAAACTCAAACGTGACCTATAAAATAGAAAATAATATACCATTAAAATATATATTGTGAGAATAGAAGAAGACAATATAGTAACTCATTTGAATAACTCACGACTGCATTAGTACAGATAATTTCATATTTGATTCTTATCTATATATTTGTTTTCTATTTTTTTTTACTTTTCATTCGTATGCTGGTTCAATTTATTGTTATAGCGCTTTGATCAACATATTACTGCTTGCCTTATAGTGTATTTCATAAAATATATGCGATACCTTTATCAACTTCACTAGTATTTTACTACTTGACTTTACATGATAATTTTATAAGTTGAGTTATGTGTTTGCTTTATTATTTTGAGTTGGAAAGAACTTCATATTTGATTCTTAGCAATGTATGCTAGTTCTATAGCACTTTGATCAACATATTACTGCTCAAATTATTTTATGAGTTATGTGTTTGCTTTAATATTTTGAATTGGAAAGAAGAACAAATTTCTCACTAATCACAATTTTTTTTTATTTTTGATTTAACTACATATGCCAAAACTTTAATTTATTTATAGTATATATATGGATGTAAAAATAAGCTCTACATGCATGTTCGATTATTATTGTATTACACAAACTCTTGATACGTAACTTGCATATTTACCCTGACCTGTAGCAAATACAACATTTTG